TGTGGTGTGTGTCTTGTTACGGTGAAAACTTGAAGATTACTGCTGATGTTTTTTGTCCCATTCTTTTAATTGAAGAATTCATTTATCTTTTGTTACATCCATTTCAGCTTAAGAAGACTTTAGCTTTTTTCGCTTTCTGTATAAATATATATCTGTTACCACTCTTTTTGATGCTCACTTGTAATTTATAAATTTTTAAGTGACCATGCAGATAAATTTCGTTATGGCGTTGTCAGGCAATTTGTTGGCCATGGGGTTGGACGGGTTTTTCACGCTGATCCTGTTGTTCTACACTTCAGTAACTATGCTAACCTCGATCTTTTTACCTTTGCTATTTGATTCTAGACTATGATTTTATATTTCTATTGACTTCTATTTATCTTTCTCACAATGGAGTTGCCTTTTAGAATTCTCATGGAAGGTGGGAGAAGGGGGATTTTTAGATCTATTATGTTTGATATTTTGGGCAATTAAGTTAGTGGTAAGCTCATACTTTCGGAAATGATATGAGAAGGTCAATATGTCAAATGTTAGAAATAAATGCTTCAACTGTACTTGTTTCTTAAGTCATTTCAGGTTGTTGGTAAAATTGGTAGTATAGCAATTTTCAGATAAGACTTTTTCAAAATTAAGCACTGGCAGAAGTAGTTCCACTGCTGAATAGTTATAGAAACATGTACCTTGATATCATAACAACTTTTCTTCTGTGGCCTGTGGGAAGGGAAACTTTTATCCTCAAGATGGTCCCACTCTCTCTCTACTTGTGCATACATACATGAGCATTTTCTACTGGAAGCCCACAATATGTAACTGAATAATATTTCTTTTTAATTTTAGGGAACAATGATGGTGGATGCATGGTCTTGAACCAGACTTTCACTATCGGTAATGTATTCATCCTTGAATTTAAGTTCTACTAAAGTGATGGTTGATTAACATTCATGCTTGTGGTCCTGGGTGCTGAGTTGGCCTAACAGGCTAACACAACTATCTTTTGACTATAGTTTGAAGTAGATATATAAACTGGAATGAATGGTATACACTTTATATTATCATATGGTATCACTAGGTTATTGATTCTTTTATTTTCACTTTTTGCAGAACCAATGCTAACGATAGGCAGCATTAATCCAGAAATGTGGGATGATAACTGGACGGTGGTCACATCAGATGGGAGCCTGTCAGCACAGTTTGAGCACACTATTCTTATAACCGAAGACGGGGCTGAAATATTGACCCACTGTGAAGATTGAATTGATATTGCACCATGCAGCAAGCACCGGCACATCCATCCATTTTGGAATTTTTACCATCCACATTTGCTTGACGTGCCTCTTCCAAACCAAAATTTTCGCACAGGAGAAGGGACTCCGTTGTTGTGTTGTTAAAACTGTGACATGCATATGCAATATCATCTTCTACAAGGTAATTTTTATCTTCCTTTATTAGGCTGCAGATGAAAAATTAATTTCATCATTGCCAAGTACTTGGCTTTGTGATGTAATTTATATTATATTTCCTGTTTATTCAGTTAAAAACTCTTGATGAATACAACTGCAAATCAACCAACTATTTATTCTCTTTTCATGATTTATCAATGAAATCAACCTCTCAAGTGATTATAGTTTTTGTGGGATATCAAATGTATCTTGGTTCTTATCAAATACTCAATCATGTGTTAACTACAATTTGATCTTTTAAAGTAAAGAGATAACGACCAAAAGCTTGTTCTCATCAAAGATTCCATCATGTATTTATCTACAATATGACCATTCAGAAAGGAGATAACGACCACAAGCTTATGCTGGAGCTGTTGTTTTGTTTTCTCTTCCGTCTATCTTTCTTTTAGCTTAGCTGAGATGGTAGTGTTTCAATATGCAAAACGTTTTTAGTTTGGATAACCATTTATATCATTTGGTCCTTATTCATTAATGAATGGCTAATGACCCTAAAGAGTATAAGAAAGAAAAATGGGTCGATGCTGACTATGTTCTGGCTTTCTTTCCCAACCGTTCAATTGTCTGGTTTTAGGCAAATTAAGAGTACATAATGATACAAGAAATGATTTTGCTTAGGCCAGGAGATAACTAAATGAATAGCGAAATGGCATTCCCATCTTCAAAAGAAGTATGGGATGGATAGCAATCTGTTGATTGATCAGTTAAACTGAAACAGATAAAAGACGAGCACATAACAAAGACATGGGTAGCTCTAGACAATGAAGTGCCAGGGGAAATTAATGTTGGAAAAAGACGTCTCACTTGTTTTGTTTAAGGTGCAAGAAACCGCCAATGCTGTCGAGGTCCGCAAACAGAGAGGGAGAGAGAGGTAAGTTAAGTAACTGCTATATGGTAAAATAACAATTCAGTTTGGAAGGATAGATCCTAGATAGAAGTTGCGTTTCTACGAGTACAAAGCAAATTTTTGCCTAATAATTTATACGTTTGTGCCTAATTTTATCTTTGAATTGTAAGCAAAGGCCAACCTTGCCCAACCTCAAATATGTGACTGCAAGAGAAGCTATTTAATCACGACTTGACAAGGTCAAGCTTCCATTTATTGTAATCACGACAAATAATTGATTGAATACTTGAAGCATTTTTAGTTTTTTACACCATGGAAAGTCGTGCAGTCATGCTATCAACCTATGGTCAAAGAATCACAGTTTTAAGCATTGATGGGGGTGGAATTAGGGGCATTATACCAGCAACCATCTTGAGTTTCCTTGAACTGAAGTTACAAGTACGCAGACTAGTCGTTATTTTCTTCTTTTTCTTTTATTATTTTTGTTTAACAAAGTAAACAGAACTCTATAATCAGTAAAGTGAAAACATGCAAGCAGATAACATTTGTTGAAAAGTAGAATTGATGATGCAGTGAATGAAATAATCTTGGTTCTTTTTCAGGAACTAGATGGGGAAAATGCTCGGATTGCAGATTATTTTGACGTGATAGCAGGAACTAGCACAGGGGGTCTGATGACAGCCATGTTAACAACTCCTGACGAAAATGGGCGTCCTCTTTTTAAAGGGAAAGACATTGCTCCATTCTATCTCAAGCATGGCCCTAAAATATTTCCTCGCAGCAACTACAAGTACTAGTCTTCACATACATAGCAATAGCAGCATCAATTTCTTTCTTTCTTACACCGCGTACCATACTGGATATAACAGCTCTGTCTGTGGTGCTTTTTCAGGAGGATGACAATGAAAATGAATGCTCTAATGAGGCCAAAATACAATGGCAAGTATCTAAGGAAGATTATTTGCAAGGTACTAGGAAATCGAAGGCTTCACGAGACTTTGACCCGTGTTGTTATACCCACGTTTGACATCAAATTGCTTCAACCCACTGTTTTCTCAACGTTTGAGGTGGAATTCACTTATTCAATTCCACGCATGTATCTGCCAGAATATTCATCTGTGTTACGATGTTGAGAGTGAAACTTTTGGAAATGATGCAGGCGAAGATAGACACTTCTAAAGATGCTTTGCTATCAGATATTTGTATTAGTACTTCTTCAGCCCCGACGTATTTTCCAGCATATACGTTTAAAACCAAAGACACGAAAGGAAATGACAGGGAATTTCACCTTGTTGATGGAGGGATAGCAGCAAACAACCCAGTAAGGAACAATTCGATATTCTATTCAACGTTTTGTCTTTGGTTGTCTCAAACTAGAGAGCAAAACTATCTGTGTTTTTCATTAATTTTGAAGGCACTGCTAGCACTGAAGCCAACAGGGCCAGCTTTTCCAGGTGATCAAGAAGTTTCGCTGGGACGAGCCCTCAACTATGAGAATTATTTGATTATTTCACTAGGCACAGGGACTTCCAAGATGGAAAAGAAATACACCGCGAAAATGGCAGCAAAATGGGGCATCCTTGGATGGCTTTACAGTGAAGGAAGTTCTCCATTAGTTGATGCATTCACTTTTGCTGGAGCAGATATGGTTGACCTTCACATGTCATTGATTTTCAGGTCTATTAAATGTGAGCAAAACTATCTTCGTATCCAGGTACCCATTTCCAATCACAATCCTCATTGATTAGCTTATTAATCAGAATAGTGTGTTTGGAAGGATGAACTAAATGATGGGTTATTTAATTTGATTGAATCAGGATGACAAGTTAAGTGGGGATGCATCATCGACTGATAAAGCTACTCAAAAGAACATGAAGAATCTCGTAGAGATTGGTGAAAGGCTCTTGCAGAAACCTGTTTCAAGGATGAATCTCGACAGTGGAATTTTTGAACCAGTTGACACTGAAGGAACCAATGAAGAAGCTCTCTCCAGGTTGTAATCAAAACCCTCTCTATTTGTTTACTTTGAAAATTTCCAGGAACAATGGCTATAGTATATTATACGGGGTTATTGAGCTATATTTGATCAGTGCAGATTTGCAAAACTTCTGTCCGAGGAGAGGAAGCTGCGTCGGGCAGAGATTGCAAAGCAGCTTGCCACAAGGAGTTCTGGCCCAGATGACCACCATGTTTCCGAAACCTGATACTGCAAGTTCTTAGGCTACCTGCAACCTTCATGTTAAACCATTCAATTCACTTTGTTGGAACAAATCAATTAGGCAAATCTTAAACATCGTGTGTACTGTAAGTAAAAACAAAAATGTGTATCTTAATTTTACATTGTTCTCTTGAATTTGATGATAATAAACTCTTGAATAAAAGCATCGAAGATGATGAATAGCTTTCTAGTTTCGAACTAAAGAGATTTTTTTAAATATTATGTTTTTTTGTTATTTAATCAATCTCATTAAGTACATAGTTTAATTAATAGGAATTTAAGATGTTAAAATATTTAATTATCTGATTACCCATAAGTGAAAAGACATAAATGCTGAGAAATTTTTTAATTAATATTAATTAGAAAAAAAATAATTGATTCATTGATGGACATAAAATTGCGACCTATTGGGAGAAAAATAAAATAAAACTATCAAAAAGTTGAAGGCTGAAAACAATTAAATGGCCATATTGGGCAATCTAAACATTTTCTGCCTTTTATTTATCTAAGCATTTCTTTCTACAAATAAAGTTCCAAAGTGGTAACGGGAATCACCGTCAAGCTCTCATCTTTCTATGAGCACTCTGTTTAGTATTAATTCCAACTCGATTTTCTGTGAAATGAAATGAATGTATGGCGCTCACAAGGAGCACTCTCAACTCTATCCAAACCCCGCATCTCTCTTTCCCAACTCAACAATCTCCTTCACCTCTGCAGCAAATCAAAGTCACTGAACCAAGGCAAACAAATTCACCCACAGATAATCTCAAATGGGTCACACCAGAACACTTTCATAATCACCAAATTGGTCCAAATGTATGCAGATTGCGACGATTTGGTGTCCGCCAACAAACTGTTCGACAGACTGCCTCAACCAAACGTGTTCTCCTGGACCGCCATCCTTGCCTTCTATTCAAAGCACGGAATGTACAAGAAATGCATTGAAAGTTACTGTGAAATGAAAATGTCAGGTGTCTTGCCTGATGGTTACGTGTTTCCTAAGGTCCTGAGGGCGTCTGTGGAGGGGTTGTGTTTGGAAACTGGAATTTGTGTGCATAAGGATGTAATTGTTTGCGGGTGTGAGTTTTATTTAGAGGTTTGTAATTCCTTGATTGATATGTATGGGAGATGCGGGGATTTAACGAGCGCGAGGCAGGTTTTTAATGAGATGGTGGAAAGAGATTTGTTGTCATGGAATTTGATGATTTCAGGCTATGTGGGTAATGGGATGTTAGAATTGGGTTTGGAGATTTTGAATTGTATGAGATTAGATGGTTTTGAACCTGACGTTGTTACATGGAATATGGTAATGGATGGTTATTGTAGAATGGGAAAATGTGATGAGGCTTTGAAAATTTTTAAATATATTAAAGAGCCTAATATTATCTCATGGACTACTTTGATATCGGGCTATTCAAGGATCGGACAACATGAATCATCATTGAGGATTTTTAAGGATATGCTGAATAAGGGAGTTGTTCTGCCTGATTTGTATTGTCTGTCTAGTGCACTTGTATCTTGTAGGCATCTTGGTGCTTTGTTGAGTGGGAAAGAGATCCATGGTTTTGGGATTAAAATGGTGATTGGTCGTTCATTTTATGGTTCAGCTGGGCCTGCCTTATTGACACTGTATTCAAAGTGTGACCGGAGTCGTGATGCTGGGAACATATTTGAGGTAATGGACAAGTCCGATACTGTTACCTGGAATGCAATGATTCTTGGTTTTGTTGATCTGGGATTGGGACATATGGCAGTTGACTGTTTTGGTGAGATGCAAAGAATGGAAATTAAGAATGATCAAACAACGATATGCACTGTTTTGCCTGTGTGCGAGTTGAGACATGGGAAACAATTACATGCCTATATTAGGAGACGGTATTCTGATTCTATTTGTCCAATTTGGAATGCATTGGTTCACATGTACTCAAAGTGTGGGTGCATTGGATCTGCATACTCTGTGTTCTCTAACATGGTTGCCAGAGATTTAGTGTCATGGAACACAATGATTGGAGGGTTTGCACTTCATGGACTTGGCGAAGCTGCTCTTCAGCTTCTGAAAGAGATGAATTATTTAGGTGTTTGCCCTAGTCCTGTGACCTTAACTTCAGCATTGTCAGCTTGTAATCACTCGGGTCTTGTGGATGAGGGGCTTAACGTCTTCAACAGTATGACCCGAGACTTTCACTTGAGCCCAAGCATGGAACACTTTGCTTGTGTTGTTGATATGCTATCACGTGCTGGTCGGCTTGAAGATGCAATTAATGTTATTGAGAAAATGCCTCTAAAGCCTGACAAGTGCACTTGGGGGGCTCTACTTGCTGCCTGTCGAGCTTATCAAAATGTTGACGTTGCAAAGGTAGCTGCTGAACATTTAATTTGCTTGGAACCTGAGCAAGCTGGACACTACATCACCCTGTCAAATATATATGCGAAGACTGGAAGATGGAATGATGCTGTACGAGTAAGGAAGCAAATGGAAGAAAAAGGATTGGCAAAGCCATCAGGACAAAGTTGGATTGCAAGTGGGAGCTGATAAACACTAAGTGAACTTCATTAACGTCTAATGATCTTCTCAAGGAATATCTGAAGATGACAGGATTATAAGTATGATTCTGGTTTTCCAAAGCAGAGAACAATGAGAGGACCGATGATGCTGACTGAGGAGCAAATTCTCATTTCGTGATCTGTTTAAGGTTATATGAGAATATCACAAGGTCAAACCTCTCAACGTTTTGTAGCTGATTGGGGTTGTGAAAAATTTCTTGCTCACTTAATTCACCAATGAAGAGCGCTGAACTGTTATTACTATCAATAAGAAGGATTACACGTGCAGAGCACCAACATGTTTAAGAGCTCTGAAATGTTATTGCCAGCCGATGCACCACATGTATTTCATTTGCAGCACTGCCTCAGTGACGTGTATGTCGCTGTTTTTGGCATTTCCATATTCTGAAGTAGGATCTCACAGAAGTGTACAATTGCTGTAGTGTACTTATTCTTGGTAGACAGCACTTAGTCAAATTGTATTGACTCGGCATGCCTGAAAACCTCTGTATTTATTTACTCTGGAGGAACATTGTTTAAACAATGCAGCAGTTCGAGCCAGAAGAATCATACGGACACCCATTTGTTTGTGTATAGACTATAGAGTATTACAGGTTCTGTTTAAGGTTGTCTCATGGTCTACATGAACCCATTTCTTAACCTAAAACAAACACTTTGACAGGGTTAGGGTGGAGCCTCACTTCCTATAAAAATTTAGGAATCTTTTTTCCTTAACAAATAAGACCAAGAAGAAAAAGGAAATGATGTTAAAACTTTATTAGATAGAATCCACGTTGACGTCAGTGACGTGGCAGGTTTTTACCCAGGGATAACATTGACGAAACACATTAAAATTACCTGACACCTGGCACCTATGTAACCCCCCAATTCCCCTTTTTTTTTTTAACCTCTTATCGCCGCCTTTTTAGCTTTCGAGGAATGTCCGATTTCCCCTTCCCAAATGCAAAAGACCCCCAAATTACACACGGAAAATTTAATAAACAGAACCAGAGTTTTACACTTTCCATCACTTTCTCTCTCTCCAAAACTTTCCCGAGAAAATTAACCAAGCACATGGACTCTTCGCCTGTCAACTGGGAAGCACTCGACGCTCTCATCATCGATTTCGCCAAATCAGAAAACTTGATCGAGGACTCTTCGCCACCGTCTTCGCCTTCCCTCACCTCTCCTTCCTCTCCTTCTCTATCTTCCTCTTCTTATCGTTCGAGGTTAATCATTCGCGAGATCAGGCGTTTGTTAGAGGCTGGTGACATTGACGCCGCTATCGATCTCCTCCGAGCTCATGCTCCTTTTATCCTCGACGATCATCGCTTCCTTTTTCGGTTACAAAAACAGGTTAATCTTCTAGTCCTCCCTATTTTTCATTAATAGAAATGTGCTTACGTGGAATTAGTTATTTTGTTTTTGGAGTTTGAATTTGCATCGGTGATTGAACTTTTCTTTTTCATTTTATGTTTTTTTCTTTTGAAGAAATTTATTGAGTTATTGAGGAATGGAACAAAGGAGGATCGTGGCTTTGCAATTGATTACTTGAGGACCTCTCTTGCTCCTTGTGCTCTCAATGCCTATCCGGTAAGTTTAACATCTGCTTTTTAATGGCTTTTCTATAAAATTTCATCTTTTTTGTTAAATTTTTATTCACTTTTAGACTTTGGCATTAATATGGTATTAATAACTACTACTTAGACGCCTGCAATGCTAATTTTTGAATTGCGAACCTTGAACTATTATTATTGATTTATTTGTTGGCATTTTTTCTATTTGAATTTATGTTATGGAACTAGTTCAAAATGGAGTTGATAATAAAAAATGTGGATAAATGGAGCAGATTATGGTTTTGTTTTAGTTGAATTTGGAGAAATCATGAAGAAAGAGGAATAATAAGTTACTCCGTGTATGGTATGATCTTTAAAGATTCATTTAATAAGTGGCATCTTGTTGTCAACTCAAATACTTGTGTCAACGATAAATGCTTAAACTGCCTGAAAAGTTTTTGTGCTATTCTTTAGAAGTGGGTTGTTATTTGATTCGAGGAAATAATGGATAAAGAGGAATTGTGAGATATGTGCTGTTATGACTTATGATGTTGAAAATTCATTTTAAATTGGCATTTAATAATCTGCAAAGAGAATCCTTTTTAATAGTAATTGTCCTAAATTGTCTTCCAGTCATCTTATATGCTTGTGTTCTATTAATTCCTTTCTTGAGATTTGGAGGCATGACTTGTCCAAACCTTTAGACAATGGATATTGTAGAATTACTTCCAAGATATGTTTCCACTTCAAGGGATAATGAGATCCAAATTTGTGCGTTGTGTTGCAAGTATACTGTCATTGGAGTTGGTAACCTTGGTTTTTTGGTTGTTTTGGCAGTCTACTCTAACTGCTGCTTATAGGTTTATTTTGGAATTGGTTTAATGCCTGTGATTTGTACGTGGAAAACAATTAATTGTGTTCAAACAATTCTGTTCACTTGGGGGTTCTGATAGATTTTTGCATCTGTCATTAAGGAAGCGTATGAGGAATTCAAGCATGTTCTTCTTGCCTTTATATATGACAAAGATGATCAAACTTCCCCAGTGGCAAATGAGGTGAGTTGGGATTTGTTCTTATAAGCAACTCTTTCTGTGATTGCTGAGAAGAATCTTGTGTTTAAGGAATCTTGTGATATATGTGCGCAGTGGGATGAGAAGAGGAGGTATGAGATTGCTGGATTATTGTCTTCTGTTTTAAGAGCTCATTTACATGCATATAATCCAATCTTTTCAATGACGATGAGGTATTTGATAAGGTATTACTGCAACTCTCTATAGATGTTATTTCCTGGAATACTTTCTGTGAGATAGTGGGCTCATTTATATTGATTCTGATAAGTTTGCAATGGTTTCCCTACATTTTCAGCATACATAAAGGTTTTTGCTTTCGACAAGGAATTTCATCACCCATTTCAGATCTTACTGAGAGATTGCTTCTTGAGGAACGTGACCCCCCTGCAATACCTCAGGAGAGTTTTTATGAGGCACCTCCTTTTGATGAGGTGTGTATTTTTCCGAGCTAGGGTGTTTTTAGATTTTTTTGGGGATAAAATGACTCATATATCGATATGAGTTGATGCATGAATTTGCAATGCTCTATGTTTATTTGTTATGTTACATGGATGCCTCTTATATGTTGCATATTTAAGTGTTGGTTTTGAAAATCAGGTGGATATACAAGCTCTTGCACATGCTGTAGAGCTTACAAGACAAGGGGCTGTTGATAGCTTGAGATTTGCAAAGGGTGATCTGTTTCAGGCATTTCAGGTTTGTTGAAACATTTATCAATCCCGCCCCCCTCTCCCTGATTCCTTAGTTTATTGAAGTTGGGGTTTTGCATGGTCTCTATACTTCAATCAGTGGTGATTCCTGTTTTCCCCATAAATCTGAGATGAGTATCAAAAGAGTACTAGGATTTTTCATTTGATAAATCAATACTTAAAGTAGGTTTTAACTTCAAATCTGAAGGCCCATGGCAATATGTGCCTTCCTTTTAGTAATTGTCCGACCAATATCTGCACAGTTACGCTGGATCATGAGGATGTCCATTTAATATTTCACATTCTGAAGATACTCTTTCTCACAAGGATCCATCCACTTAATCTTTCTGTGGTCTGGGCCTAGAGTCCCCTTCATTTGTTGGTTTTTTAGTTATTGATTGTTAATTTTGACTATGTATGCAGAATGAAATATGTCGAATGAGATTGGATGCTGCCATGCTTGATGAACTTGTTCATGAGTACTGTATTTATAGGGGAATTGTGGAATCTGGTAATTTCATCCTATGTTGTGAAACTCTATCATTAATGTGTGCTCACTATATTCTTCTTTACCATCTGCGAATGCTGATTAACTTGTCCTTTTTCAGGAATGCAGACACTTTCTGAACCTTTCAAAGTGAACCAACAAGAGTCTAGGAATTGTTCATCACAAGACTGTTCTCTTGATGTGGATTATAGCAGTGCTAAGCGTTCAAATAGTGAATCTTCTGCTACTACAGATACGAGTACCATGCAAGGAACTGATGCTGAATTAAGATATGCTTCTGAGCCAGCCAACAACCTTGAAGATTGTAGCACCAGCGGGTCAAATCAGTCTGAAAATTCAAGGCTCCTGAGGAACAGAAGCCATGTTGCTGGTGAAAGAAGTAAACGCAAGCGATGGAGGGGAAGACATGATGAACTAGATATTTCTGATATCCATTCTAACCGATGCGGGAAGCAAGAGGTGAGCACTGCAATGCAAGTTGACAGCACACATTTACCAAAGACACAACAGGTATATTTGGGAATTCTTACTTATGGTACTATTTTAATGATAAATAGATAAATAATAATGTAGCTTTGTTCTGCAGGGAGTGGAGAAAATCAATGGGGAAGAAAAATATGAAATTGTTCTGGGGATGAGGGAACTAGCTAGCAGAGGAATGGCTGCTGAGGTTGTGGAGGAAATTAATGCATTGGATCCAAACTTCTTTGTGCAAAATCCTGTTTTGCTATTCCAACTCAAGCAGGTCAGTTGATTTACACTGGCAGTGGCTTTATTAAGTAAAACATTAAGGGTGAATTTCTGTTCAAATTGCCAATGAGCATACAAAGAATGTTATTTTACTGTTCTGTTTGTTTTAGGTTGAATTTCTAAAACTGGTTGGCTTGGATGATCATTCTGGTGCTCTAAGGGTTGCGAGCTCCCATTTAGGTCCCTTAGCGGCCAGTGACCCCAATTTGCTTAAGCCCTTGAAGGAGACTTTGTTGTCACTGCTTCGGCCAAATGAAGATGCACTTGTGACAGGCTTGCCTTTACATGCTCTTGCAACTTCACTTCAGGTACACTGATGTTTGAAATTTAGTAGATACATATATACATATATATACTTGTCACTGCCCTGTGTTGTTTTTAATTACTTTGTTATCTCTGGATCAGTGGTTAATCACATATACATATATATATATATGTACACGTATTCTTCATAAATCATTAATATATGGTTTTTTTATCTTGGTTAGGTTGCTTTTGGCAAGAGGCTTGGTATTGAGGAGCCTCAACTTATGAGGATAATGAGAGCAACTCTTCACACACATACTGAATGGTTCAAACTTCAAATGTGTAAAGATCGTTTTGAAAGTCTCTTGAGAATTGATTCTTTGAAGGAAAATAATGCTCCTGTGCTAACTTCTTTGGCCACATCAAAGTCAAACACCGATAGTTGCACCCTTGGGTCTTCACAAGTTACTATCTCATCAACTACCCGTATATCAGATGATGGTAGTAGTCCTAATCAAGCCTCATCAAGAGATGTTATTTGTGATGAGAATGCAATACTTAAAGTAATGGTAAGTTAACTATGTTCCTCTTATGCATGACCAATCAAATACTATTTCACAAAAAAAAAAAAAAAAAAACCTTTGATCATCTCCTCTCCTACTACTGATACCAAGGAAGTAACTTGGATTCTTGCCAGAGATGGTGAATAGTCTGTTACTCTGTTTTCATGTTGCTGTTCTCTTGACCAGTACTCTCTTAAA